GCAGCATGGCTCAATGGAACTACACTGCTGGGGGAAAGAAGAGGCTGCCAGCATATATGGGCCTCCAAGCTAATGGCCTTAGGCTCCCATGGATCCTGGGAGAATCTGGCCCTAGATATTTAGGGTCCAACCCTGCATTCCTTGCACATCCCAAATTTCTTTTAAAATCAACTGACCCCTAAAATCCAGTGGCCTTTCCCTATCAGACTATAGCAATTCCGAAGTAAATGAAACTTTGAGCCTATACATTTTCAGCATCACTTTAAAGTTCATGCTGCATTAATTTATCCTGTGATACATATATAGCCATAATGTACATAGAAGCTTTCTTCGCCCCGCCAATAGCTTAAGATAGTATCTAGTATCTAGCCCAGAATGAAAACTTGTTGCTATAGCTGTACTAGCTAGTAAGGTTCTTCAAAGGCCAATACATAAAATTTCTTGCACTGACAGCTTAAGCACAATCTGCTTAAGATACCCAAAATAAAAATTACTTGCATGATTTGCTTATTGAAGTTAGCACTTATCAATGTAAAATTCAGTTTCCAAGAGAACACATATAATATAATAGACTGAAGACAGGCTTTGGTAGCGATATCTGCTTGGGGTTAAATATACACAGTCTTTCTTTAAGAACAGACATCACATGCACACAATATAGAACGGTTTTAAGGTGAGACCTATAATATCCTTTGGTTTTCCTAGTAAAATACCCATTGTGTGCCTAGCTGCAAAACAAAAGCTCAGATATGAACTTATGGAAATGTTATTACTGTAAATGCCACCCTCGTATTAAAATCATTGCCTGCCACGGTGCTGTTGAGAAGGCTCTCGGCTACAAGTCTAGCTCTGATAGGACTATTTTACCTTGGCTCTTAATCTTACAGGAACCTCCTATAGACTAGCTGGTTCGAACCTGCATTTCACTAGAAACCACAGGAGAACAGGTAAAATGAAGCTGCACTGCATGTTAAAAAAATGAGATTACACAAACTCATTTTAAACTCTCTTTTTAAGCTTTCTTTACAATAGGGTTTGGAGTATAAACTCCAAGGCCACATAATCACAGGTGTGCTGGCCCCTCCTTCTTCCTCCACTTACCTTCCTTTCTAGTTCCCGATAAGCTGAAGCACATGCAACCCCCCTGGCACTCTGTGAAAAAGAAGGGTTGTGGGCTCCCTGTCCTGGATCCCAACATCATGTTGCTCAATGGAACAAGAAGTGGTCGTGGCCCTCCTTGCTCACAGATGTAGGGCAGGGGAAGGCAGGATTGACGTCACCTGGTCTAAACCATACCCCATCAGTGGAGGTACATGTGAGGGATGGATATTGGTCTATTAATTGTCAGGACATGTAGTTTGTATCAGATCTTTGCAATCGAGGGAAAATGAGCTTGTCAATGAAAGTGTGTGCAACAAGATCTTCAAATCTGAATAGACCTGAAGGAGTTTGGGTGCACATGCATCTAAACTCCCCAAATTATAAGAAAAGATGTACAGTATATTAAAAAAGCCAATTTAATAATCTTACCAGTAGATCTATAAAAATAGCTATGTAAGGAAAGCTAAGCAATTAGAGTTAGGGAAGATATAATTAGCAATAGCGTAGTCCTCTTCCAGTGATACACTAATAATTCAATCTAGCATTCTTAGAGCTGCCTTTTAAGAGACACTAATAGTTTACTCCACTATTTTTAGAGCTGCCAAAATACCCATTGGCTCCAGTGGACATTCTGAATGCACAAGCATGCAGGAGCAAACCCAGAATCACATATGGCAGCTGTGAAGTGGGTAGGAGGGAAGTAGTTGGCCAAATTCACTATTGGCATAATAAAAATATTTCTTGTTATTAATAGACTGCTGTGAATGGACGGAGTCCCTATTCTTTCCCCTGAGTCAGTGTCTGAACTTGCTCCCTTCCTGGCTTCATCGGAAATGCAAAAACAATAATACAATATAAACCTCAGCCTGAACTTCCTCCCTGAGCATGGCTGGCCCTAGGATTTCCATCTGGGACTTCCCCTTCTCCTCTGTGAGAGGATGGAGCTGCGCTTGCCACAATGAGTCAGTCATCAACATTTCAGCAGCTTTATGAAGGTTTCTTCTGAGATGTGTTAACAGGGTAGGACAGCAGAAGATCATTCTGTTACAAGTACCCAAATGTGTGTGAGACCCTTACAGACACTAAGAAGATGAGGGCCCTGAATAAAAAAGTTGCACACACTAATGCCAATAGTGAATTTGTCTCAGTGAGTATCTTGACCATTTAAATATCCAAATCCCTTCCAAAAAGGGTATTTTTATACAGGTGACATTTCTATATGGCTGAATTGCTTTTATTTCTAACTTGGATTTTTTTTAACTCTATGTGAAATGCTTTAAATTAGATTTTTTTTGTTTCAGTCTGCAGTATTTCTGATTTTTAGTATCTTGTGCGCTCCCCAAAATGGAGCAGCTGGGAAAAGTGGGGTGAAACTTGGAAGAGATCACAGATGTATTCTGGATCCCAGATATATCGTTGGTGAGTGGAAGAAAGAAGTCAGTTTAATAAAGTTCAGATTGTAATTTTAGAGGGGCTCATAGCTTTCTTTTCAGAATCAGGAGATTTAGAAATAAATGTTACATTTTGGACCTGTCAGCTTTGATAGTGTTCCTTTAAAATTATCTGTCAGATATTTAGATTGTTGACATTAATTTATGGCTGGTATTTGTATGTCTACTGTGAAGATTAATTTTACCAAATAAGAGATCTACTGGGATAGATCATGTAGTAATGGGGATGGAGATAATGTTTTCCTTCTCAGGGAGTGGTCAGGAGCATGGTCCTCCACAATCTCATGTGTCCTAAGATCTGCAAGGAAAATCCAGTGTCTATGTTGATGGTTTGCTGCTTCATGACAGTTCCTAGAACCTCTGTCAGTACTGCTCCATATGCAGCCAGGCTGGCAATACTGTCCCATATGTGCTTGGTCTTTAGTTTGTCTGTCAAGAGCTTCTGAATGCGTGGAGTAGGAATTAATGCTTATAGGCTTAGGATTCAGGACCTGGTTAGGCAAAGCACTTAAGTGTATGCTCAACTTCAGGCATGTGAGCAGACCTGTTGAAGTCAATGGGACTTAAGCATGTGCTTAATGTTAAGCATGTACTTAAGATACATATTGAAGCATGAAGTATTTCCCTGTGGATTTGTCATAGGATGATGTATAGAGTTGCCAGTTCTCATGATTTCATTGTCAGTCTTGTGATACTTGGTGTTTTTCTTAAAGCCCCAACTCCTGGAGTCATGTGACTACATGATAATCTCAGCTTTCTTTTTTAAAAGTGTCAGAAAAGATTGAAAATGTGAACCCTAAGGGCTCAAAACCAGAAGGCAAATAAAAAGAAACCAAAATGTATTACCTGAAAAAATCTCATGATTTTTGGAGTCAGACTCATGATTTGTGAATACAGGATTGGCAATATTGAATGTAAAACAAATAGTTGCCTGTCCAGATTCTGCCGTATGTATCCATGTCCCGCTAAATCCACAGATTCCCTTCTGCCCCATTCTGTGCTACCATGAAATGATCCCCACAGTGTCTGAGGAAGTGGGGTATGATGTTCATTTTGGGCCTTTGGACCATTTTTGCATGTCATTCTTCATCTTCATATTCCTTCATGGCTCAAGTGGATGATAGGGCACAGAAAATACTTAGAGCAATGGTATCAGTATTTTCACCTGTGGCACACCACTCAGCTATATCACTTTTGTTGTCTAGGTCCCTATGCTGGTAGGGATGAGCAATTTAAAGGAAAAACTGCCACTTATTTTTCAAATTGAATAATCACTTCATCTAGGTATAAGAATAGGCAAGCCACCACTGTAAAACAAAATGGAATAAACACTGCTCAAAGGAAATTGCAATGCAGCCTGCTGGCTAACAGTGGACTCATAGCTTGTCCCCTATAGTTTGTGACCAAAGAAGTATTTTGCAGCAGCGGAATGGGTGCAAAGCTAGAGGATTTCACAGTGGTTTCAAAGGGGTGGCCATTAGCTATGCCATTATTATCCTCTCCTGACGTCTCTTTCCTAATCCCTTGGTGAGAATAATAAACAAAGCCATTTATACTGCTTGGAGCAAAATTCAACATGCAGTACTTTTTGTGTGTCTTTCCACCTTATATTAATTTTAGCTATTATCTGGTTTTGTGCCCATTCCATACAGAAGTGTCTATGTTGTCTCTGAAATCCTATGTATAAACTATATTAGATATATATATAGCATGAGTACAATATAAGAAATGTGTTAGTTTAGTATTCAGATATTGTTATTCAATGTTCTCTTTGTAAATACGGATCCAACACATTATTTTCACAACTTCTAACAACCGTATATTCAACAATCTTGTAAACATTCTCTCAAAATGAAGCAAGATGACAGTGGCGCTGTTCAATTATAATTATCTAGGCTGACAAGCCATCCTTAACACATGTGCCCTTGAGTGTTCTTGCAAGGTAAAACTGACATGACATTCCATTGCTTCATGGCTGGGTGACTCAGTTAAGAGGACCTCAGTGTCACCCTTAATTTTGAGTTAGCCGACTCTTTTCGGTTACGGGTGTTACAAATCCAACATTATCGAAGTGCAGTCTCCCCACACCTGCCATCTCACAGGATCACCGACTTTGGAGGTGGAAAAGACAAAACCTATTAGCTCATGGAGCCTCCCTGCTAGTGAGAAGATTTCACACTTTCAGTAGCATTTTCTCGGTTGAGTTTTAGATGCCACATTAATTCCATTAATCCCACCTCACAAATCAAAAGCATAAGGCTAAGAACAAAAGGAACTTTATAGCAAGTGAAATGTCTTATGCTGAAGGCTCTCCAGCTGTTAGACAACCAGCACACACACCAACTCTGCCTGATTACACAGTGCTGGATCAACTGTTTAAGCCACGATCCGAGATACATTTTTTTTACAGTAACCTGCTTGATATTACACACACTGCGTGTTACTCACCTTCGAAAACCAAGGCTCTTCAAGGCTCCCGCGGGCTTGAGCCGCGCTGCTGTCATCACAACACCACGGTCTGTTGTGCTGTTAAAGTGACATGCCCTCTCCTTGCTGATTTCAGCTCCAGTCTCCCAAAGCCAGATCCCTCCAAGCAGAACCTCCAAGGGTCTCCTAGTTCTGTGGCAGCCCTAGGAGCAGGGCATGCGGCAGCAGCGGGTCCCGCCCGGTCACAGCCCAGCAGCTGATAGAGCTTCCTACAGCGAGTTAGGTGTTTGGAAGCCTTTTACATCCACTTGGGAAGTCGCAGGTGGGTCCAGGAAACACAGTGTAATCTGATCCCAGTCTCTGTCGGAAAAGGGAGCCAGCTGCCAAAGGGGAGGGGACAGAGGGGCGCAAAAAGGCAAAGAAGCAGGAGGAGGAAAGAGAGAGGTAGTGCAGGTATGTGAGTGCCGGAGAGGAGAGGAGCAGCGAGCTGGGGAGCTGCTGGTCTGACTTCTCTCTAGCTGCTCAGGCTGCGAGGAAAACTCTGCCGGGGAAGCCTGTACCAGCTGCTGCCAGTCCCACCGTGGACACTAGGGGGCACCGCTTCCCATTCAATACGGGTGGGAGGAGAGCGGCAGGCGGACCAGTCCCGGTTTAATCGCTGGTGCCTGCGCAGAGCGGAGCTGCCCAGGGCAGGGAAAGCAAAGCTCCCCCTTGAATCTTTGAGCAGCGCAGACAGCGAGGCAGGATTTTGGTTCGAGGGGAAGATAAAAGCAGGGATCTGCCAGCCCCTGCCCCAACCCCCCAAATCCCATTGCTTAGGTCAGTAACAGCCCAGCTGCTCTGAGTGCACCCAACAATTCCAGTCCCCCCTACGCAAATCCATGGTTGAGTGACAGCTGGATCCTGACCACTTTGGGGCTCCCCTCTCCCCAAATCCACGGCTTCAACGGGGAACGAGTTTAGCCACTCTTAGGCTACATCTACACTACGGGGGGGGGGGGTCGTGAATAGCGTAGCTGAATTCGACGTATCGCAGCCGACTTACCCCGCTGTGAGGACGGCGGCAAAATCGACCTCTGCGGCTTCCCGTCGACGGCGCTTACTCCCACCTCCGCTGGTGGAGTAAGAGCGTCGATTCGGGGATCGATTGTCGCGTCCAGATGGGACGCGATAAATCGATCCCCGAGAGGTCGATTTCTACCCGCTGATTCAGGCGGGTAGTGTAGACCCAGCCTTATTCCAGCTACATGATCTGCACACAAATGCATTACCTGGGTCCTGCCAGATTTTGACCCTCCTCCGGCAAATTGGCGTGCCTAAGCCACAGACTGTGTCTATAGCCATTCCTACTGCCTCTTAAAAACTTGGACTCCCTCCGCAGAGCAGTAGCACAAGAACTCGGATCTGGCATCTGGATCCTGCCAAATTTTGGTCATAAACCAGGCAATTGTAAATTGTGAACCATCGAAATGAGAACAAGTGTTGCTTTTATTACTTAAACAAAACAAACAGAAAACTGGATCCCAACACATCCTGGAAACTTTGATTTGGCACCTGTATCCTGCAAATTCAGCTGATTTTTGGCTGCATACTCCCCAGTTTTGCCATCTAAACTTGGTATCTATGCAGCTATTCCTAATCCTCCAGACAGGGCGTGTCTAGGTAGGAAATGATATCACTGGCAAAAATAACAGTTCAGTTGGAGGGTTGGCAGAGTGAGTGAGTGAAGGGTAAAGAGCAGAGACAGGACTCAGAGGCTGAAATGTGTTCAGCTGAAGTGAAATCAGTGGAAGTTGATTTGTATTTGAGAATTTGACCCAATATTTTTTAAAAAAATGTGTTCTAGCACAGGTGAAACAGGATTTCTAGGGTCAGTATGTAAACCAGGCTAAAGCACCTAAACAACATTGCTAGACGCCTTCCTGGACTAGCATCTGCTATAATTTTTTAAAAGGTAGATAGGAAAGATCAAATTAATAAGAACATTAGGTAACATAGCTGTACTTATAACAGCTACCAAAGTAATAAGTTTTATAAGAAAATAACTTTGTATTCATCTTTAATAAGAATAAAAACTGTACCTGGAACAAAAATGCCCCTTTACTTTCTAATTGAACCAATGAGTAATGCTTGCTTTGTTTTACTCGGCATATTTTTTTGTGCCTATCCAGTTTTCTAAAAAATGATTTGGAGTTATTTTAATTTATTTTACGTCTGTTGTATTTGTAGTTTGATCAATTTCTTATTACTTTTATGTGTCTAGACATTTCAGCTTACCCTTGCTTACCCAGTGATTTTTCTACCATTCCATTACAGGACCTGTTTCAAGTTGATGTATCTGAATTTGTGATGAAATTATCATGTTTTGATGGATATAAAGGATTAAATTGTCAAAGTGTTTTATAACAACACTTTAGGACAGTAGTCAGCCGATGGTTACTCATGTGCAGTTCCTATTGAAGTCAGTGGGAGCAACATTTATGTAGCTATGGCTAGAATTTGTCCTTTGATAAACAGCCCAGGGTTCTACTTGTTCTGTTTCACAACCATATTGTCTGAAATTTAAACATATCTCAATGGTATACTGCCAAGTGAAGTCAGGGGAAAGCTGAAACAGTGTTAGAGATGTTCTGCCCTTTATATACATAATAATGTTTGGAAACGTCATGCTTATTTCAAACAGAAGATATGAGACCATAGCCTTCTCTCCACCGTGAGGGATGGATGGGATGAAACTTGCTCAAATAATAGCCAAATATGGCCAGTAAGCATGGAAGGGGTGGGAGAAGTAGTACCTCAGAGAAATCTGTGACAGTTACAGACCATGGGGATATCTGCGTCAAACTATGAACTCTGTTTTCTTCTGAGAATGCCATTTGGCAATTGGAATCTTCATTGCGCCTTCACTTATAACCTCCATGTGGGTTTAACGTACCCAGGCGGTGGTGAAAGCAAGTCCAATCCTGGTGAGGTCAGTCTCTGCTGGACACTCTGTGCTCCTGCTAGGGTGCCAGACACTCCACAGAGGGTAACAGTAAGCTAGCCTGGCTGCTCTAAGGGTCCATCTACATTGGAGCTTGGAGGTGCAATTCCCAGCTCAGGTAGGCATATGCATGCTAGCGCTGATTGAGCTAACATGCTAAAAGTAGAAATGTAGCCTCAGCAGCAGGAGGGGCTAGCCACCCAAATATGTACCAAGGATTTCAGGCGGGATCCTCCTCGGGTGGCTAGACCCTCCTACTCCTTGTACCACCATGGCTACACTGCTGTTTTGAGAGCTTTAGCTCCATCGGAGCTACCCCGGGTATGTCTGAGCAAGCTGAAAGTGTAGATGTACCTTTGAAGCTCTGTTCTCAGGGATCCAGAACAGAGGCAGGAAGGTAGCAGGTCCCCTTGTGGTGGCTTTGGAGCAGCCTGTAATGGTAGATGGATACTGTAACTGGGTTCTTGTGGTGCTTACCATATGCCTCTGTTGAGTTAATTCAGGATTGCTAGGAAATGTGCCCAGGAAGAGAGAGCTGTAGTAGATCCTTTTAGACTCTTCTCAACAAGCAACCAGCAAGAAAATACAAGAATCATTCACTTTTTGATGCCCTGGCTCAGCCCCCTGCTGGGCCTGCCAGTTTCCCCCAGTGTGACTTGGTCCTGGTGGGGAGGCAGTAAAAAAGACCCAGGAGGGTTTAAAGAGAGAGAGACACTCCCTCCAGGAGTCACACAGAGCTTTGGGCTAAGGAGACGCCAGAGCCTGCTGTGGGAATCTGGAGGGAAGCTAGGCCTATTGGGAGTCCCCCTCTGGAGGATGATTAGAATGTAGGTAAAACAGAGGTTTGTGTAGATGTATGGAGCTGGTTTGTACCCAGCCAATGAAGGACCCATTGCCACATCCAGAGTCTCTTTCCAGGCACAATTTTATTTTGGGCAAAGCAGATCAACAGTCCCTTAGCCCCCCCTGGGCTATAGCTCCCAGAGGATTCTCCCCTTTTTGCTTTTCTCAGTCCCTCCTGCGTCAGGGCCTACTGAATGATTCTTCCTTGCTCTTTTCAGTGAGCACGACTTCCCAGGGCTTTCTCCCTGCACGCCCTTCCCCCCCAGCAGCTTCCCACTGACTCCCCCTTCCAGGGACCTCAACCCACCTCTCCCTAGGAACTCCCTGCTGCTGCTGCTGCCCCTTCCTTACTGACTGTCTGGCTCTTTATATCCCCAGGTGCTGCCCTGCCTTCTTAACTGGCCAAACTGGAACACCTGTTCTGGAACAAGTATCAGGGGTAGCCGTGTTAGTCTGTATCCACAAAAACTTCAGATGCCTCTGAAGAAGTGAGGTTTTTTACCCACGAAAGCTTATGCCCAAATAAATCTGTTAGTCTTTAAGGTGCCACCGGACTCCTTGTTGTTCTAGCACAGGGGAGTGGGACCTGCTTCATGTAAAGGGGCCAGCCCTCCTCTGACAGCAAACCTTTTATTTTAAAATCCTTTTTTCTTGTGCTGGGTTTTGTTACTCTAGTTAAATAAACAATACTTTTGTTTTAAGAAGGCTGCTTTGGGTCTCGGTAATGCACCGGTCACAGATTCCCAAAGGGAAGACTTGCAGATATTGAATCCAGTCAGACCTGAAGGGTAAGAACGGTTGATACACAGGGTACTGTAACCTAGGGTGCAGTCCCAGAGTGGGAGAATTGTGGGATTCCACCCGGAGAGGTGAAGGTGTGAGACCTGAGGGAGTGCACCAGAGCCTATGGATGGGGTCAGACCCCACTGGGGACCCTCAGCAGGAATATTCCGCCCCCCAGCACATACTAAAAAAGTGAATAAGGGGGCTCTTGAGCTGCTTCGGGCCCTAAGCAATAGTCTGCTTATGTCTAGCGCCGGCTCTGTCAGAGATGCAGTTATCCCTGCGACTGCGGCACCCCTAACTGCCTGAGCTCCAAGCCATAGCCTGAGAACTGATTCCTTTCTTTCACTGAGCACCTCTTTAAATAAACAACTGACAAATAAGCTAGCATCCAACTCAGGTGCCTTTTCTTCCCGTGACACCAAGTGGGGAGCAGAGAAGCAAATCCCATTATGCAATTTGTTTTCATTAAACTGGAAAATATTCTTTAGCATTCTTTATATTATTAGCAACATAGCTTGTGAGGTTAACATTCAGACTTTTCAGAGCACTTTCTGTCTTGTATACTTATATTGTAAACTTTTGGGGATTAGGAGTGTTTCATATTATGTTCTTTCATAGTGCATAGCACCTGGGGACCTAGTTTAAGTTGGGGCCTTTAGCTCTACCTAAATACAAATAATAATCTATTTAAAGGTAATATTTATTTAGATACTCATTAGGCTGAGTGAGACATCTTGTCATATAACTATATAATACCATCTCTCCCAAGTAGTGATTACTGCATCCTACCCTCGCTCCCAAGCCATACTTCAAGTACAGCTACAATAAATGATTTCCACCCAATTCAGTCTAACTACTTTAGAGGATAGTATGTGGATTCATCCATCATTTACTTATTGAGAGCCTTCAAGCCAAACTTCTCAAAGTGCTGGATGATAAAAATATAG